CCAGTGGGCTGGGCAAGGACTGCCTGGGATGTCTTCCTGCTTGCGCAAACGGAAAACCTGAGCCTTGCACGTGCCTTTGGATCGCAAGGAGGTGGAACCACATCTTCGCCAGGCAGGGATCCTTGTCTTCTTTTCAGCATTTCTTTGCATATCCTGCAGTGCACCAAATTTGTCTCGGCAAGACCTGGTGGCAGGCGCAGGCACCTCCACTTCAACCGTAGGACAGGGGTGACGGTGGTCTTTTGTGGCTGGCCTTGTCGAGATGTGAGGAGGTGGCGCCAGCACAAGCCAGCCCGCATCGACCACTGACGCCGGCACGACTGCTGACCCTGGAACGACAGCCAACGGCGGGACGACAACCGCTGGTGGGACAACAGCTGGTGGAACCACGTCAAGCACTGGAGGGACGACGACGGGGTCGGTGGGCTGGGACCCCGGATTTGAAGGCAAGAGAGCAGAGACGCTTGCCGGTGGCAAGTTTTCAAGTTCTGTGCGACTCAGGCACAACGCCCACATTGCACCTTGGCAATCATGGCGCGAGTTGCCGTTGCGGGAGTGGCTGCGGCACTCAGGACGACCCAAGCAGTCCCAGCCTCAGTCCCTTTGCAAGGGCGTACAGAAGTCAAGGATACAGCAAATGGGCGTGGGTCCAAAACAGCCCAAAATGGAGCCAAGGAAAATGGAAACAAGGACTAAAGCCTGCCATCCCCTACTAGATAAATTTTGACCCATACCCAAAGCAAGTCAAGACACCGCACACCCAGGATACAGAGGTGGTGGGATCAGCCACAAGTGCTGGATTCCTCGCCGTGCTGAGTGCCGCCCTTGCGGCGTCGCTTTGACGCGAGCGACGCGTAAATGCGTCGTGTTTTTCGCACGCCCCCTCTCAGCGCCGGAGGGCAAGGGCTGGTCTGAAAATTGGGGGGGGGGGAGCCCAAAGTTGGTTTCCCTTCTCAAGGATTTGCCTCTCATTGAAGTTGTTTTTTTTGGGAAAGGCGTTGCCAGCTTTTGAGCCGGATTCGCCCTTCATTTTTTTTGGTGTCCCTCGTAAGCAGACAAATCGCACAAAAACATCTCCTCGTTTTCAGACACGCCCGCAGAGTCTCCAACGTCCAGGCTGCGGGTTGGGGTGATGGCCTCTCCCTGGCCCCTCAAGGGGGCCTTGGATGCCACGTGCACCGCGAAGCGCGTCGCGGAGCAGAAGTAAATGTGGGGCGGGTTGGACCCTGCGTGGAGGGACATAAATCACCGGGATTTGATGTTTGCGCGTGTCTCGAGAATAGGGGCACCCCCCTCCCCCCCGCCAAAATGGTGGTTTTCCTTCAGTTTTCAAACCCATGTGCCCTGGCATTCCAGGCCGGGGGCCCACGGGGATTGCAGACATGGAGCCGAGGAGGCGGGGAGACTTGCGGTCAGAGAGTTGTGTTGCATCTCTCGACTGCATCCCCCTTCGGACTATTCGAAAACGACCAGGCCCTTGGACAGATGTGTGTTTCACTGATCTCCTGAAAATTCCCGTAAGTCGCATCCCCAGCTGTGCCAGGGCTTCGTTCTCAACGAGGCGCGGCTGTGGGCGGACATGCGTTTGATTCCCCCAAGCTTTGCAAGAACACCGGATCATTGTTTGGGCTAGGCAGTTTTGCCGCCCGCATTGAAAACCCCGCCCCCTCTATCGTGTGATCGGGTAATCGGGTATGTATCAAAATAGGGATCCCTCAAACGTGTTGCTTGATCTTTTTTCCCTTCCAAACCAACCCCCCAAAAAGGTACAACCCTGAGTTGGTGGATTGGATTGGTTTGAGGATTTGAAGCCCTGGTTCTTGTAGGTAAATGGGAAACCGCTTCTTAACCACCAAACCCCCCAACTAGAGATCTTTTTGCTGGGAACCCCCTTCTTTGCCACCAAACCGCCAATCCAAACTACACTCCCTCAAACTAACATGGAAGCTCCCAGAAGGCCGCTGCAAGTGGAACCAAGTCTTCGAACGGGGTCCTGGGAGCTTCCATATTAGTCTGGGGGAGTGTACCAATTGAAGCTGAACCTTTTGAACAAAAGTCACAGACACCCCGTCGGTGACAGCAGGTTTTGCGGCAGATGGAGGAGGAGAGGGCCCGGAGCCAGTCTGAGATGGAGAAGCTTAAGGCGGACGTGCGGTCCCAGCAGGCGACGAGGGGTATGGGGGGGGGGGAGGTGGTGTCTTGGGGTTGGTGTAGAGTATCCTTTGGGAAACATGGGAAACTCGAAGGTTTTGCAGGATTCCATTTGATAGGACCATTGGATCGCAAGAGTTTTGAATGAGGATTTTGACCACGGGACGTGAAAAATACACTCTCACTGTCACTGAACTGATTTTGAAGGATGGAAACTGCCTTTGTCGAAGCTTTGAATGCGGGATAGGAAGTTTTCATGCTTCCCTTTCCGATTTCGGCTGGAGCTCAAATCTGCACGTGGAGCCGCGTCATGTTGACATGCGGCTGGTCAGCCTCAAGCCAGCGCTTCACGAGTTGGAAAGCGGAAGCGCGGCGATGCGCCATGGGTGAGCCATGGATGGCCATCCAACCCGCCTGGATGGGCTCCCTGGGTTAGCTCAGGATTGGGATGGCCGGAGAGTCGTGTCCCAAGGTGGTTTGGATTGGTGGTTTGGGACCAAAAACAATGAAACCACCAATTCGTGGGAAGTTGGAAGCTTTTTTCCTTTTCCTGTTTTGGCCAAGGGACGCCGCTTGAGTTTGGTAAGGTCGGTTTCAGCTCTCAGTCGCCCTTGAGGAGCCGCTGGTCCGACCTCGGGCGCGGGAGCACCAGACCCTCACCAGCAGCCACGAGGCAGCCCAGGCCATTGGCGCCGACGGCTTTGGAAGACCCATGGCCTTCTGAAAAACATGGGCATCATCTCCTTCAGCGTTTTTTGATGGCCACTGAAGCTTTTGTTGCTTCAAGTCGAGCTGTATATTCCCCCCAACCAGTATCCCAAACTGAAGGCCCCCCTTGAGCCGCTTGCTGCAGCTGGCAGGCGCGAGCGGAGCTGCAGGGCGGGTCGCTGGGGGACGTGCTGAAGTCGCAGCTCGTGGAGCTGGGCAACTTCGTGGGCAGCCTCCAGCTGCGCGCCAACCGAGGCGGGGGAAATCGGTCCGGTTTTTGGTTTTTGGGTGGGGGAGAAAACCCGCCCAAGGGATTTTTTTTCGTCAGGAGGTGCAAGAAAGTTCAGGCTCAGACTCCTTGGATTCCTTTTTTGTTTTGCCGGGGGTTGGAGGAGCTTCCTTTTGAGAATGAATCAGTTTCTTTGGCTCGCGCAGGCGAGGACAGCGAATGGTTGAGCGCTCCAGCTGCTGCTCTTCCTCCATCGCCTACTCTTCAGCCCTCACCTCAGGTTCAGTTCCCATTTTCTCATTTGGAACGACTCGGAGTTCTCAGCTCTTTTGAAAAGCTCATGCTACTGTGGATGCCCTAAATATTGCAAGTAGGGGAACAGTGGAACACCCCAATTTATCGTAATTCTTTGGTGTGGCTGTGATTAGCTTACTTGCAATATGACAGGGGCATTCGCTGTAGTGCGTCTTGTCAAAAGAACCGCCCCGCGTTTCCTCCGCATCGAGGCAGAGGTTGGGCCACACTGAGGAGCCAGAGGTGCAGGTCCGGGGACACGGCGACACCGCTCTTTTCGGGTGTTTTTTTGGGTTCGGCTGGGCCTATTGGTGTCCCAACACTTGCTTTTGGCTGGGGTTCCCTCTGTGAATCTGGCTATCAGTCCGGCGCACTTTTGTCTGTGCGCTCGAGTCCAAAGCGGCTTCAGAATCCGCTCCTAATCAAATCTCAAACTGTTTTGGAAAACCTGCACTCCTCCCCTTTGTGTCCGGGAGGACTCAAATGACAAAAGTCGGCAGTCTGTGCTGCCTTGCGAGCCTCTCACGTCATCCGAAGAACGTGTTCAGCTCAAGCCGCTCATAGAAGTCCACGCGGAAACCGGCCCGCGTCCCTCATCATCTCTTCATTGTCCTGGGTCACTCCTCCCTGGCAGAAACTGCATGGCTGCAAGGGTCGAAGTGGAGCCTGCCCAATGCCGGCGCAGTGAATCGAGTGCAAGAAGCCGTCATCTCCTCTCCAGCTCCTGGCCCCACGAACTCGCTGCCTGTCTCCTCCCATCCAGCATCTGGAACAAGGCAAAACCGCCCGCATTCCGCGAACTGTGGCATTTCGCAACCCATAACAGTTGCGGCGCCAATGAATCTTGTCGCCCATTCCGGTCAAGTGATATACCTCGACCGCTTCGGGCTCCGGTTGCAACTCCCGCCACCGAAGCTGCTCCATCACCCGCAACTCCTCCCGCCAGCGTGCATTCAAGCGTTCGTCCTCCGCATCCGGTTCCACTGGCCTCGGCTGAGGTTGCTCTGCAACTGGCTGTTCTGCTCGATCAGCGTCTCCCCCTCGGCGCCTCCTCATTGAACTTGCCCTTGAGGGATTCCCGCTTCCCGAGCTGGAAGACCTGGCCGCCGAAGAGCTCTGTGTCCTCGGCACCTCGATGACTTCTTCCTCACTTTCCGTCTGGGTGCTCTGCTCCACACCTCTCACTCTCAATCTTCTCACCTTCAGACAGATGTCCGATGCCACCTCGTGGACCAAGCGGTACACCACAATCGCCACCACTGCGATCACCAAGACCACCACCGCAAGGTCAATCTTCTCCTCCTCCGGCTGTTGATTCCCTTGAGCTCGGCATCCTGTGATCATGATCAAGATCACCAGCAGCTTGATCCACTTGTCCACCTCCGGCTGCATTACCACGGCCTTGTTCAGCCTGCTTTGTTCATCCTCTTCTCGCATGGCCTTCAGATTCCACAAGGCACACAGCTCCTTGATCCTCGCTGGGCCCAGTGGCTTTGTGCCAAGATCGGCCAACATCTGTTGTCCAGGGCAATGGCGCAACTCCCAATCCCCGGCTCTGATTCGCCACCGAAGATGAAACGCTCGAAGCCGAAGATGCCGCGTTCGCCAGGATCCCGTCACGTCCGTGGCTATCGCCACCGCTGCTGCATTGTCAGACAGCAGCATCTTCTTGAAGTCGTCCAGCCCCAAGGTGTCCGTGATCAGCGCTTCAACGCTGTCCCCAAGGATCACGCTGTCGATGGCCTCGATCAACTCACATTCCGCCGTGGATAAGGCCGGAAATGCTTGCTTCCCTGCTTTCCACGCGATGACCGTGCCGTTCCACGACACCAGGGAGCATCCTTGGCTTCTTTCCCCAAGTGGGGCGAAGGAGGCATCAGCGTATGCCTGAAGTCCTGCTGCTCCATGGCCGCTCCAATGCCGTCCAGATTCTCCAGACACCCACAGCCCCCAGTCCTTCGTCGAGTCCAGGTAGCCCAGGATATAGCCCGCAGCTCTGATGACCCACTTCGGGTTCTTCGACACCATGCTGCATAGTCGGCTCATACTGTAGAGGAGGTCGGGCCGTGTTCTCGTCATCAACCACAAGATCTCGCCCGTCACCTTCTGTGCTCTTGCAAGATCCGTCATCGTGTGGTTGCCGATCGTCTCCTCCGCCTCATCCGCCATCTCCTTGGACATGGGCGCCTTCGCCTTCTTCACCTCGTCCTTGTGCCGGGTCAGCAGTTCCTCCACGTAGTCCTGCTGGTGCAGGAAGATTCCATTCTCCTCCTTTTTCAAGTTCATTCCCAGAAATCGAATCTGATTCCCGGTCTTCAACACCTCCGGCACGCTCGTCTCCCATTTCTGCGCAATGATGGCCTCAAACCTTTCTCGCACGGCCTCCTCCGCCGCAGTGAGGACATCATCGACGTAGATAGTGACCAGTCCCGCCAAGATCTCCTCCGCGCCTCGGATTTCCAGGATGCGCCACAAATTCTGTTCTGCAGCACACTGATCCAACTTGTAGTAGGCGCCGTCGACCTCCCACTGGACCGTCACGAGCTCCGCGTCTCGGTGGTCTGACCACCTTCTCGGGCTTTGGCGAAGCCCATACATGGCCTTGTCTATCAGCCATAGTTCCCCGGGCTCTGCGTAGCCCATTCTGACCATGATCGCCGGCGGCCGCATCGCCACCAGGTGCTCCGGCTCCTTTTCCCCATGCAGATCTGCATTGAGGAAGGCAGACTTAATGTCCAACGCGGACATCGTCCATTTCCTCTCCATGGCGACCTTCACCTGCAAGCGGATCGCCGTGATGTCCGTACCGCCCGCAAATCCGCCTCCGAGTTCTGGGCGACGTAGTTCCCGCACACCACCAACCTGGTCTTCCGCCGCGAACTTCCCGCTTTCACACTGAAGATGGCCTTGCCCGGGACCACGGTCAGCTTGTTGCCCTTCTCCTTGATCAACTTCGCGGCTTCCCCAGGAGCCAATCGCCGCAACGCCTTCTTCTCTGTCATCAGAGAATCCAGCTCCATCTTGATCGACGTTGCCCAGGCTTCCTTGTCCGCGATCACCTCATTCGTGGAGACCATCTTTGTATGCAAGACCTTCTCTGCCTCCTTGTGGTCCGGCACGGTCTGCTTCAGGTTCTCCTCTTCTTCCTTCAGCTTCCTCACCATCTTGAAGGTGACCTCAGCTGCGTTTTCTCCATCTTCCAACATCCTTTCTTCCTCCTCCATGATGAGGTTCCGCAACAATCGAATCCGCTCCGCAACCTTCTCACCTCCTCCATCGTCCATCCTTCTCGGATCGCTCGTCTTCATCCTCAACCGTCTTCTCACACGCAGAGCTTCATCGAACAGAGCTTCCCCATCAGGATTCTCTTCCTCCTCCTGTCCTTCTGCTCTCGGGGCTTCCCCTTCTCGCAAGCCTGAGAGAACCTTCGACACCGCCACCACCTTGTTGTCACAGTCCAGCTTCACCGCGTGACCGTGGGTGATGTCATAGAGCGGGGCCAGGTACTTGCCTCGCTGATTCTTCGCCTCAAAGGATTTCTGCTTCCAAGCTCTCTTCGGCACCACCACCTCCTCTCCGAACTGATACTTCGGATGGTCTCCGGTCTGGTCAAACTTGAAGCGCACCTCCGAGACGTAGCGGGCGATGCAGGGCCACCACTTCGATTCCCATCGTGATGCTATCAGCACCCTCCTCACCATGGATTTTACGACCCCAACTGCGGCCTCTGCCCTTCCGTTCTCCTGCATCTGATCCGGTGTCCTGGTGGACTTTCTAATGTCCCTCAGTCGGCACCAGCTGGCTAGTTCTTTGCTCATGAACTCGCCTCCTTTATCTGAGTGCAGTCTCAGCACCAGGTGGCCCTCTCTCCTCAGTCTGATATAGACCTCCTGGATCGCCGCCAAGACCTCTCGCTTGTCCTTGGACTTCAGCGGGACCGTCATGTACAACGTCTTCAGCGGGTGCGGTTCCTTCTGGATTTCCGGAATCACCGGCTGCTCGTCCTCCTCTCGGGCTCCTTCCACAATGAAGCCTTCTTCTTCCTCCTGCTCGTCCTGATCCACCTGTTCCTCCACCGGTAGTAGATCTTCTCCCTCGCCTGGTTCTGCAGCAGGAAGTTCCTCACCTTCTTCGGTGTGGATCTGTGGCCATGTGAACGCAGCCACGAGCAGGTACCTTCGGTCTTGGACTCCATCCACATCGATGCCCTTGATGAACGGCCCACTCAAATCCACTGAGAGGACATTCCCGGCTGGATGTCGCACCCTTCGATGTGGCCTGTCCTTGGCTGAGGCTTCCTGACAAACTCGGCAGTCCCGCCGAAACGGCAGGTGCCCCAACTTCACATGCTCCTCCCACGACAGGGCCTTCACTTTCGTTCTCGACTCACCGTCCACCTCCTTCCGAAGGCATCTGGCGAGCTCCCGCATCATCCCAGGGGCCCATCGAGCCAACGCCTTCGAGGAGCTGAGCTTCTCCTCATCCGTCATCATCCACCTCGGCTTGTCCGTCTCCTGTTCTTGCCCTTGATGACCTCCTTGATGTAGCTTGCAGATGCCTTTCTCGGGGCCTCTGAAGTCCATGGTGGTCCCGATCGTTGTAGGCTTCGCCGCTCGCCCACCCCAGTCACCTTGCAAGAACGTCACCTTCTTGAGCTCGTGGAGCTTCTCCAGGGCTTCCCACTCCGGTGTCCGCCACCACGATGCACACCTCGGCTCCGTCTGCGGCTCTGCCGGTTGCTCCAGGAAGAACTCCACCGCGCCCCCTTTCTCCTCTCTGGCCTTTGCCGTGAGGTCTGCCAGCAAGTAGACCAGGATGAAGCGGAACATGAGCACGTCATCCTCGTAGACGATGGCTTCTTCTCCTTGGTCCATCCCCGGCAATCCCCAGGGATATTCCACCGTTCTCACCGGTCGCGGTTTGGCCCTGTTGAGCAAGGGGAAGAACCGCAGCACTGATCGCGTCCTGCAATTCGGGCCCCCCACCACTGCCTTGATTCGGTCATCCAAAGCCAGCCGCACCAAGCCACCCATGAGCTCGTCGTCCATGAGGTCGTGGCTGTTGTCACGGAGGATGTCATACTCCAGGATGTCCTTGGATCACCTCCTTGCTCTTTGTAAGCTCGGGACAAATCAAATCCCTCCTCCGGGCCTGCAAACAAGTGCACAATCGCACCTCCCTTCTTCTCAAGCCTTCTCCTCCGGCTCCTGTTCAATCCCAGAGGTTTCCAGTCCTCCGCCGGGTTGACCATCAACTTTTCCTTGATCGCCCCCGGCACACCGTCGAACACCGGGTGCGTCTCCACCACCTGCTTGATGAAGTCCACCTCATCCCGCTTTGACAGCGCCTTGACCCTGTAGCGGTTCACCCCCTCGAGCTCCTGGATCAAGCTGAGGGCCAGTTCTCTCGGCAACTCCGGGCAGCCTTGACTCATCACCACCGGTAGACGTCCTCGTCCAGGGTGCACCACCGCACATGTCTTCCCGCTCCACTTGACCTGGCAATTCAAGTCCTTCGTGAGCATTCCCATGGGGATGATCGGCTGTATCCGCTCGTCTTCCGCAACCAGGGTTCCTCCCAAGGTGACCTTCAGGCGGTAGGTCTCTCCAGCCGCCAACTCTACGGTCTTCTCCTCATAGTCCGAGGTGTCCTCGCCCTTCATCATGGGTCTCAGCGGGTGCGTTGCTCCTGAATCCACCAGTCCGCGCATCCCACCGATCTCCATCTTCGACAACCTCACCTGTCGAACCCGCATCTTTTCTCGCATGCCGTCCAGCTGCTTCTGCAGCTCCATCAGCTTCTTCTCATCGTCCTCCGGTCCGTTCTTGCCGGTCTTGACGTTGATGCTCCTGAGCATTTTGGTCGCCTCCTGGAGCACGTCCTTCATTGCGTCCGTCTCCTTGTCGCCCGATGCCGAACTCGCCGCTCCCGGGGAATCCTCTTGCACCGTTGCCGACGTAGACGCCCTCGGAGTTGTAACCTTCTGGTTCTCCGTCCCGACGTCCTTCTTCGGTTCCTCCTCCGCGTTGACCTTCGCCGCCTTCGGCTTTCGGTCCACGTTGCTCTTGATCGCCACGGGGCAGTCCTTTCGCATATGCTCGCTCGCCCCGCACGACCAGCATCTCATGCGTTCATCCTTCTGGTCATGGCTCCAACGGCAGCCACGTCCTCTCCTGCAGCCCTTCTCGGTGAGGAAAAACTTGCATGGTTTCCCACCTTCTCCAGCGCTCTTCACCTCATTCTTGGAGTCGACAGCCTCTGCCTTCTTGATCCGGGTGTCCGTGGCCTGCGCCTTCCCCGCTGGGGCCTTGACCTCCTTCTCCAAGTGGGCGATCGCTTCCACCTCCGACAGAACGTGCTCTGCGTACTTCTCCACTGCCTCGTGAGAGGGGATGGAGTCCAGCTGGAGCGAGTTCCTCGCCAGTGCCATCTTGAACGAGAGCTCCGGCTGCATCTCTACCACTTTCTTCACCATCTTGCTGAGGGAGCGGGCCAGGACCGTGGGGTCCGGAATGGTCACCCCAAGTTCCTGTGCCCTCTGCTTCCACCTCATCCATTTCCTCAACCCAACCACCAGCGACGCCAGGGAGTCCACCTCCGGGGGACTTTCCAAGTTCTTCAGGATGACCGATTTCTCCACCAGTCCTCCCGGCTGGTAGCTCGCCATGAGCTTGCACAGAATCGCATAGCAAGTCATGGACTTCGTTGCCACCATCTCTTCACGAGCTCCGTCAGGAAGAGCGCGAAGAAGTAGCCCCACAGCCCGCCTCTCCAGCCTCCGCCATTTCGGTTCTTGAAGCTCCGGAGGGTCCTTCGGCTGCAGCTTGAGTCGTTCCAGCGGCGGCGTTGTCTGATACCTTCCGTACCACCTCCTCGCCGATTCCACCACTTTCTGCCACCATTGCTGTGACGATTCACTGAGGTCCGCCATAATCGGCTCCAGGACGCAAATCCAGTCTCCCAGGTCGATGGGAGCACTCTCCGGCTTATACTCCACGAGCTTCGGCAAATCCGTAGTGACATTCTTCACCGTCTCGCTCGTGCGTGGTCCACCTTCTTCTTGGTGTCCAGCATCTGCTGCTGCATGTTCTGCATGCCCTGCACGATCTTCAGCATGATGTCCAGGGACTTGTCCTTCGGGCCCGTCGGCTCGTCCTCACGCAGCTCCGAGGATTCTTCCTCAGGATCAGCAGGTTCACCTCGAGTTCCACGGCCTTCTGGGGTTCCATGTTCCTCAGGCGTGGCAAACCTGTCACTCTGATCACCTCCTCGAGTAGCTTCCACCTCCGGCGGTTTCCAGTTCTGCTGCATGTCCTGGACTTGGCTGAGACATTGACCCACCTCCTGGTGCAGCCTCCGGTTATCCGCCAGGATCTGTGCCATGTAGTAGCGCATCTCCTGCATCGGATCTGGCCATTGAGCATGCCGTCCTGGTTCAGGTAGTCCCGGCTGTTGCCGTGTTCCTTGATCTTGCCATTGAGCAAGCCGTGAGCCTTCAAGATGTCCCCCAGGTCCAAGAAGTACCAGCTGCGGCCCCAGTTCTTGCCGTTGAGCAGGCCGTGGGCCTTCGGCATCTCCCGCTGGTCCTGGTAGAGCAAGTTGTTGTGCTGCCAGAGCCAACTGCCTTTCCACCTGCATGCCCTCATTGGACCGCTGGATGTAGCCCTCAAAACCTCCATGGCCTGTTGCAGCTCCTGTTGCGTGAATGAGCGGAGCTTCGGCTGTCCACTCATCCAACCTTCTCATCTGCTCCGGAGTGAACAGCTCGTTCTCTGCCGGCCCAGGCTGAATCGACGATGGCTCCCCCTGCGGCCCTCCAGGCCATTGGGTCGAAGCTGCCGCCTCAATCAACCCATCCGGCCTGGCTATCAAGGCAGGTTCCTCCACCTCCTCCACCACTGGGCCGACTCGGCCTCCGGTTCCCTTTCCGTTGTTCTCCAGGGTGGTCCTTCTCCGGGTCCTCCCTGAGTCAGCGCCATCCATGGCGCCAGTGTCACACCGCGTGACTTGGGCTCATAACCTGTGAATCTGGCTATCAGTCCGGCGCACTTTTGTCTGTGCGCTCGAGTCCAAAGCGGCTTCAGAATCCGCTCCTAATCAAATCTCAAACTGTTTTGGAAAACCTGCACCCTCAACAAAAGACCGACCACCAAAAGGGCAACCCCCAATGCCACTCCTCGGCTGAAATGTGGCCCGAGAAGCACAGGAAACGGGCCAAAGTTGGTCTTCCAGCAGTTTCTGACATGCTGCAACCCTTTGAAGGGACCTTTTTCGCACTCGGTGCAACCCATGTTTATCGCGCACCTGTGCTTTTTGAGGGAAACTCACGGACCGACTCGAGCATTGGACACCAGAACCTACCATTTCTGGAGCACGGAGCCGTTGATCAGACAGATCTTTGCACCAACGCTTTGCTCGAGGCGCTGGAGACCAGCTTCAGCCCGTGCTCCGCAGGCGAGGAATTCCGCGTGTGGCATGTTTTTTTTCCGCCTGAGTACAGCGCTGAGGCTAAAACAAGAGAAAGCAAATGGCCAGTTTGAAAACATGAGTTCTGGGGATGTGGTTTTTCCACAATTCGGTGAGTGATTTGTTTGGTTGCCCATGCTGGCTCCAGGCACCAAGTTTTGCCGCAAGGTTCGGAACTGGCGATTTATCGGCTGCTTCACGGGTGGCTCTGGCCCTTGCCAGGGAGCTCCGAGCTGGAGGTGCTGCGTGTGCAGATGTCGGCGCTGGCCCAGTCGCTGGCAGGCCTCGTGGCTACCAATTTTTGACCGTTTCCTTTGAGTTTCCCTGGAAGCCAGGTACAACAAGTGCACCCAACCCGCCTGGCATAAACAAGAGCCCAGCAAAAACACGCAAACGCACAGAACAAACACACAAACGCAGCCAGCAACACTCAAAAGCAACACCAGCAACACTCAAAAAAACACCCTCCACTCCCCAAAACACCCATCACCCCCCCAAAAAAAACACCCCAGCCACCAGTACCGAACTTGACTGCTACTGGCTTGGATCTTTAGACTTTAACTTTTTGGGAAGTACAGGTGTTTCCCACTAAGCCCCCAAAAAGTGAAAACTTTTTGCCGGGTCGTTGCAGCAACTATTAGCCAAAAAGACGCAGCGAGAAGCGCTTTGCGCGAGCTGCGAACTTCGAGGCCTGGGGGCGTGCGTGGTGAACTGGTCGGGCTTCCTGGACGCCCAGCGGCGCGGAGAGCTGCGCCGAAAAGTGCTGAGCTACGTGGAGCCCTGCGGGCAACTCAGCCCGGAGCTCCAGGCGGGGAGGAGGGGGTGAGGGTGGGGGGGCTGGGGGGACTGTAGTTTGTTTCTTTCTTTTGTCTTTTATATATATATATATCGACAATCAACCCGGTGGGGGACTGTACTTGTTTTCTTTTTGTTATCATTCTTCCTCTTCTTCTTCTTCTTCTTCTTCTTCGCAGGTGGACTGTAGTTTTTGTTCTTCGAATAACAATGAACATGGTAGGGGGACTATAGTTGGTTTTTCTTCTTCAAACAACAAACAATATTGTCTTCCCTGATGGATAGGGGAACTGTATTTGTGTGTGTGGTTTCCTCTGATAGACCCGGGCACTGCACGTCGCATCTTCGGATGTTTGGACCTTCAGTGAAAACGTCGGGGGGGGGGGAGGGGACTTCGACGTCGCAGGAGCTCTGCCGAGACCTGCGGTCCATGGAGTTCGCCTTGGAGCCTGGGCTGGCGCGGGCCGAAGATGGCTCGGGTTGGCTTCAGTCGGGTGAGAGGATGGAAAGGAGGCGTGTGCTTTCTTTTAGGGGGTACCCTCACTCACTCCCACTAGTATGGCACCTGACAGAGGATCCCGACAAGAGGAAAATGATCTTCCAGGTACCCTCACACGGCTGCTATGTTAGTGGAAGGGAGGGTACCTTTGTTAGGGTTCTAAAGCATTCTAAAGGAAGGTCAAAGGCAAACAACACGACTGTTTGGGGTATCCCTATTTTGAGACAACCCCGAGTGGTCCCATGGTCCCACGTTTTCTTTTAGAAAGACCCTCGGTCTTTTGCGAGCGAACAGGAGGAGGGGGTGGAGCGGCCGCTCACAGTGGGGGCGCTGCGGGAGATGCTGGAAGCGTCGGCGCCTGAGTCCAGTGAAAAAAGCCTTCTGCGATTTGGAGGCACATGGGTGTGGCTCAAGATTAAAGACCCAGTGTTACGCAGGTTTTAGTCTTTGGTTCCACAGATTTGGCCATGGGTCAAGATCCAAATCGTACCCCCAGTGAACATCCCAATCCTCACTGAAATCCTGACGAAAATGGGTGGTGAATTCACCTACCCTAAAATGGTACCAAAACGGTTTTCACCCACAGCCACATGGGCGGCTCGTTCTTATTGGAGGGTTCCCCGTTTTTGGTGGGTTTTGAAGGGAATCCAAAAGGAGAACCACCATTGTGGAGGGGTCATTTGACGAAACTCAGCTCAATTTGGAGGCGCATGCGTGAACTGGTCGACTCCGTTTGGGAATGGTTTGCCAAAGCCAAAAGGGCCAATGTCCCACTATAGGCCATTTAAGAGGCAACCAAAGGAACTGAGCCTTGTGACAAGGTGCAACAAAAAAATAATGTCCCATGAGCGAGTGAGGAACTTGCCATCAGCAGTCCAGGGAGGCAATGAGCAATGCGCGTTTGGGGGAAGGTGCAAAACGGTTTGTGGCTGTGGCTCAGGAACACGAACCAACACGCCACCCTTAGCAAATGGAACCAAAGACCAAAACCTGCGTGACCCTAGCTCTTTCATTTTGAGCCACACCCATGTGTTCCAAATCAGCGACCCCGATCCTTGTCCAGCTTGCCGTTTTGTCGCCCTGCGCTTAGGAGTGCCTTCTCCCGAGAGGTCGGGGATTTTGGGCTGGGCTGGGTTAGAGGAGCTCGCGCGCGCGCGCGCCACATGTAACAAATATTGGAGTTATGAAAATCAAGGGGCTTCTCACAGAAAAGGAACTTTCTACTGAAGCAAAGACCTTCAATTGAGATGTTTGTCCCGACCTTTAGAAGGGGATCACCTATATACATATTGATTATGCATAGTTGACTTTTGGTCTCTTGGGCCCGACAAGAGCACGGTTCGGTAGTGCTTGTCAGGGCCTTGCGAGTCCAGACGGGCACGGCCGAGAGGGACGTGATCGAGCGCCGGTTAACCAGGACTCGGGCTCCTTCGTTGGCGGTGTTTCTGGAAGTTGCCCGCAGGGCTTTTGAACAGATACAAATTGGCCATCTTGGAACCTTTGCAGTTTTCCACTAGACCAAAAGCAAGCCGCAATGTTGGGAGTTGGTGTTGTTTTCCCTTGGAAACATTACAGTTTGCACTCAGCCGCATACAGTGTTGGGAGTGCTTGGTGTGGACAGTCTGTGGTTGCCTGTCCATTGCGCAAGCGCGAAGCTTCGAGGACTGGCACTCAAGTGAGAAGCTTTGACGCATTTGGAGAAGGTGCGGGTCAAAAACAGGGCAACCCCAAAATGGAGCCAAGGAGAATGGAAAAAGATGGACTAGAACCTATACTCATGTTCTAAAAAATAAAACACCCATACCCAATTGAAATCTGTGGCTTGATTTTGCTTGGGAATGGAGTCAACTTGGTCCATGCTCATGCCTCTGGAGCCTCTGGAACTCCCGATGCCACTTGAACCCACACGCCCAGGCCTTCTGTACATAGCGCGGCCAGATCCTTCCCGGGAGACAGAATCGCCTTCTGAGAAAGGAGCGTTGCTTGTGTCTTCATGCCGAGAGCTGCCTTGTGCACGCGTCACGAGTCGATCTGCATGAGACTGCCTGCAACCAGTATGCTTCATTCGGTTTTGGAAGTGCCCCTCTTGGTTTGTTTCAGTTGACTCTCCACCAAACCACTGCATTTGTCGGTCACCAACGGGCGGCGTTGGAACGAGAGGGTCATGAGCTCAGCTGCAAGACAGAGCAAGCTTTGTGCAGCAGCTCTTGCAGAATAAGATCTTAACCTCAACTCCACAAGCCTTGAGGGGTGCTCTGAGACAACATGGTACAGGAATCCCATTTGGAATTCACCAAAGGGATGGAACATGATGTACAATTTTTGAACATCCCTCTCCAAAATGGTTCTGCACCCATTTCTGCCGCTTACTGACCTTCATCTACCCAGGTTTCGATTGTGGCTCGCCTTTTTGGGGGGGTCCCCTAGAATAAAATCCACCTCCAAGCCATGGGTTTCTGACGAGAGGTCATCCTGGCGCAGATCGCGGAGTCTCTGCTGGGCGGCGCAATCGAGCAGGCGCTTCGCCGGAATCAATCCGCGGTCCGATGCGTCGGGCGGATGGCCGGGTTATAGCGAGCTCACCGATCCGGGGGTATGGCGAGCGAAAGCCGTGATAGAGACCCTTTACTTGGGGATTGATTTTTGATGCAGCTTTTGAACATCTACTCAAAGTGGAACCACGGTGATTTAAAGAGGTGGTCAGTTTCCTCTTGTGAAAGGCCGCACTTTCGAGGTGAACCCAAACAAATGAGGCGAAGGAAAGCAAATGATTCGTTCAGCCGTGTTTCATGAAGGTCCAAGGGCCTGGGCAAATTTGCATCTCGAACACCCACGACTTTTCTGATCAGATTTCACCTTTTCCGTATTTCTCGTCTGATGCACTCGTCTGGAACGCAGTATTGTGTTGATGTCTGACAAAACTAAGACGGAAGTCAGAAGGGTTGCAGGAGGCAACTTTCGGTTGTGGCTCGAGTTGACAGAGCTACACTCATCTCCCCAAACCAGAGACGCCGAGAAGCTACGATGGAGATGAAGCAGAAGGATGTGGAGGTTTGCAGCCAGGACAGCACTGCGAGCGGATGCAGCAGCAAAGAGAGCCTCAGTGTGGGCTCGTCGATCTCCAGCAGCAAGTTTCGACGTGGCGGAATTTTGCCAACCGCCATCTGCCTCAGCAAGGCGGCCATCGGCGCCGGCGTGCTGTCGGTGGCGGCGCATGGGGCGGAAGTGGGCGCCGTGTATCAAATGGTTTGCCTCATCCTGGGCGGGCTGCTCACTTTGGCTAGCATCCGCATGATCGCGAATGCCAGTGTGGAGACTGGCTGCTGGAGCTATGAGGACATCTGTGAGGAGCTCTTTCACCCAGCCATGTCGCTGTTCACAGGCTTCATCAACGTGTGCAACTGCCTGGGCTCCGCTGCTGGTTATCTCATCGTGTGTGGCCAAGTGTTCCAGGTGATCTTCCAAGCGGATGAAAAGGCTCGGAACCTCTTCGTGGTGCTGGTGGGCGTATTCGTGTGCGGCCCTTTGGCTTTGGCCAGGCACGTGGGCTTCATGCGACATCTGGCGGCCATCAGCGTGGGGGCTCTGCTGCTGTTGGTGGGTTCGGTGGCGTGGTACTGGGGTGAGCACGGCATCGACGAGTCCGTGGACGTGGACAGCTTCCTGCTGCCCGGCTCGGGCGCGACGGTATTCACCTACATGAACTCCATCAATAACATGGTCTTCGCATACAACAACCAGTTCAACGTCCCGCAGCTGACTGGGGAGCTGACGCCTGCCCCCTCTGTGCACAAGATGACCAAGGTCGCCCTGTTGAGCACAAGCCTCTGCTTTCTGCTCTATGGAAGCGTGTCCATCTTCGGAGTGCTGGCATTCGGCGTCGGCGACAACCAGAAAGACACGCTGATTCTGGATCTGATGCCGGCGCGCAAGGAGTGGCACGTGGTGGTGTCTCTCTTTGCAGTGATGTTCAGCGTCCTCACGTGCTTCCAGTTCCACGTGTACCCCATCCGGCAATTCTCTGCCTATGCGGTGCGCAAGCTCCGGGGGCTTCCGGCCAAAGCCGCGGACGAGGAGGAGGAGGTTGCGGGCGACGCGTGCTGCGGCCGGTCGCTGGCCCGGTGGCTGGATATCGCCTGCGCTCTGGGCTCCGTGGCGATTGCCATCTTGATCGCAGTGGTCGTCACCTCCCTGCGCACCATCCTGAACTTTATCGGCGCCTTCGCCTCTGCATACGTCTCCTACGTGGTGCCACCGCTGTGGATCCTGGCCCTCCGCAGGAAGGGCAAGGACTTCTCTTGGCTGGCGCCAGAGATTCTCTTCAGCGTGGCATTGCTGTTGCTTGGCGCCTTCTTCTTCGTGTTCGGCACCTACTGTGCCATAAAGGGGGCTTAGGCAATTGTGCAAGTAGCTGTCGGCTGAATTAGAGACTATCGCTGCTCATTCAGCTGGAGTCTTTGCATGGCTTTCTGCGACCCATCTCGCTTGCATAGGTTGGAACATGTGTTTCTCCAGCTTCAGGGAGACTCTTTGATTCCTCCCCCTCTTGAACACACCCAGGGCCGCAAAGTCGCCCCACTTGTGCAGGGGGTGTTTAGTAGGGGCTTGGTTCATGGTGCATCGAAGTCAGCCACAGGGCTGGCTTTCCAAGCAACCCGCACTGCTGCGCACCCACGGCACTCGTGCTGTGTGGTTGCATGGCGGCTGTAAGACAAGCACACGATCTGAAAACAGCCGCATCTTCTGCTACCAGAAATTTCTGCAAGCTGCTTGCTGGTGCGATAGGTAGGGAATGAGGGAATGAACCCGGGATTCCCTCAAAAGAATCACAAGGGATGGTGTATGGGGTTCATTCCATTTCTCATTCCCTGCCTATCGCACCGTCAAGGGCCGGTTGACAGCAGTTGCCGGTTGAACGCTCAGGCCATTGACCAGTCTCGCGCAGAGCTCGGCTTCTATCAATCGCACAACCTGGGCGCTCCAGCAAAAAGCAGGACCAGTCAGACACGCGGGTAGGAGAAGGTTAATATGTTGACCCCATATTAATCAACCCCAGGTTATGAATAGGGACACCCCATTCCCCACTGAATCCAGGGACACCGCCCTATGAATAAACTGAGGTTGCGTGCTAAATACGACCAAAGAGCAGACGTGCCAGCTTTGCCCAAAAGAGGCCCGTGATGGGGCTGTAGGAGGCTTGCAATGGCTCTTGCTTGCTTGGTCTGCCTAGGTTTGGCGTGGTGTCGTTTCTTTTCCTGCATGCCTTCCCGAGAGCTCGTGACCTTCAGCAGATCGCAGTTGGGCAGCTCTTGTGGTTCATTGGGGGCCGCGGTCCTTCGAAGTCACCCCCAAACGGAGGTTTTTACATCCCCTTGGTTCAGGCATCACCTTTGGTCATTTTCCGAGTTTCTTTGTGTAAGCAGACAAATTGCAAAAGGTATGTTTTAAGGGTACCCCCAACAGGCCTAAAAGGAAACCACAAGGAGCACCATGTTTGGGGTACCCGACACCCTTCAAAAGGTTGGCTGCGCGTGTGCGCGCGCGTGTGTGCAGGGTATGGAAACCACAAGCAGCACCCGCAAAAACCCGGGTTTCGCCGAGGCCAGGAGCTGCAGAAACAGCAGCAGCAGCTGGCGCGGTGCTTGGGTGTCTACACCGGGCCCTTTCTTCCATGTCCTTTCCAATTCCTTTCCATCTCCTTTTCATTTTCTTTCCATACGAGTTAGTCGTAGATGGTTGCTTTTTGTTGTGGGATTTTGTTTTTTGGTTGTGGGCTGGAATGTGGCTTTTTGTCGCGGTTTGAGCGTCGTCTCGAATGAGGGAATGACCCCTATAAACCATCCCTTGTGGTTTTCTTTAAGGGAATCCGCAGGTTCATTCCCACGTTCCCTACCTATCGCACCAGCAAGTCTATGAACAGAGGGGCGTTTTTTGCTCTGAAAAAGTCACCCGCAGGACCTGCAGGCTGCCGCTTTGCGGGAGGCGTTGCTGGACCTGGGCGAGCACAAGGCGACATGGGCGAGCGCATGGGTTTGTGGCGTTGGGGGCCGTAGGTGGCGGGTGGAAGTTGGGGGGTTTATGCAGGCTATTTTTGAATTGGTAGTTTGGATTGGTTTGGGGATTGGAGTCCATAGTTATTGTCTGCATGGAACCCCCCCCCCCCCCCCAACAGCCAAACCACCGATTCGGCTCCAAACCACCCGCTTTGGAACTTATACACGCATCTATATTTGTATGATTTCTACATCTATATGATTTGGAGACAAAGAGTAGCTCGGCCTTTTTCTTCTCACTTTCTTCTTGTTTGTGTTTATACACAAAACCCATTGGGTTGATACATCATTGTGACAAATCCAGAAACACCAGTGCGAAGTTTGTTTCGCACATAGACACAAGATGAAGTGAAACCACGCACGACACAACATCAAGGGCCAACCACATAGACCACACGACACCACGCACATACTGAGTTACTGTGGATGGACGAACTCCAGCACCTACACCCTGGTTTCTGATGGTTCTGTAAGTACCAAACGTGCCCTGGTTTCAGCCCTGGTTTCAAACGTGGTGCGATTCGCGGAGTTCGCAACCAGCCGTGAGGAGGCCTTCGCTGCGAGGGGCTCGGAGCTGCAGCAGGCGCTGGGGGAGGTGCGGGGGCCCCCGGACGCCACCGAAGCGGAGGTTTGGCGGAACCCGCAGGGCGCTGCGGGTGAGTTGTTCCGTTTGTGGAATCTATATATTGTGTATAATATATATATATACATATATGTACACATATATATATATACATATATATATATATAGATTATTTATATAGTTTCTGTATATATATATATATATGCTACCCCCCCTTGAAATACTCAGGTTTTTGGACAGAACTGAGGTTTTTGGCCAGACTGGGGGTAACAAATGCCTTGAGACTCTGAAATGAACTGGACACTCAACTCCATGCAAATTCTAACCAAGCAGAAGTTAAGCTCAACGTTGATTAGGAGTTGCGAGTTGTGTGACCGTCACATTGGCGTGCGCGAAGTGCACTTAAAGTCACATTGGAGTATGCAAAGTGCAATTTGGCAGCTCCAGCTCAAAAAGCACAACTGTTCAGTACAGTAGTAGTGTGCAAAGTATGTGTTGGCAGCTTCAACGCGCCTGTAGCAGCCCTATTATTTGGTGTTTATTTTTTTGTTTGGCAGCGAAATTCAGCAAAACATCAACTCGGGGAAAAGGAACCCATTCCTCATTCATGTCCTTGCGCAGTTGCATTTACATGTTAACTGGAGTGTTGTGCACAATTCCTGACATGCCAGTTCAGTCTAATTGAAACATATGTTGCAAAGCAACTATCCCACGTTTGTGTGTGTGTGTGTTGCTTGTCTAAGTTGGTTCCATCATCGCAACTAACCACTATTGAAATTCAAGTAAGGGAAGAATATCCAGTTAAAAAAGCGTTCGAGTTCAAACCAAATTCAAGTTTACTCGTTTGCAGTTTCTTGTGCATTTCAAAAATCAACTGGAGAAGATAGCTATTGTCATGGCCAAATGAATTTGGAATCAAACTCAATTTTGAAAGGGTTATTGTCCTTCGAGTTCCATGTGGTTTGAACCAAGCAAGAACTAAGCCAAGCCAATGACAGGAACATGTTTTCAATCATAGATCCTATTCTTTGCATAAATGCTGTAACACGCAGTGTTGTCAGCATTTGCCCAGATCGTGTTGCCCTGGATCGAACATCGATTATACAAGATTCCACAAACATATGTTTAGAATGTACTCAATCCTGGTCCCCGAAAAACTTGACAGTTTGTTCTAGACTGATCAAGGTTTCGCCCTGCATTGAAGATTGATGATCTACCAGATTTTCTATTTGAGAATCTTCCATCCTGGCCAACCCTCAAGTCCACAAAAAATGTAAAGGTGTCAGCAACATTTTTCCCCCTGGCCAATTGCAGGCAGTGCAAGCGCACATCCACATTTTGATCTGACAACGTGCACTCCCGGTCTGCCTTGTGGATTCTTCAAATCCGCACTTAAGGCAATCCAGGATCTGGATGGGAGATTCAAGATTCTCTGACAACTCTTTCTGAAATTCTCCAAACATGTACTTAGAGTAATCCAGGATGTGCTAGCACGTGCTAGCACATCCTGGATTGAAGATTGAAGATTGAAGATTCTCAGACCACTTGTTCTGGAAATCTTCAATCCATCCTGAGGACAAACTGGTATGTGCTAGCACGTGCTAGCGCATCCCGGATTGAAGATTGAAGATTGGAGAATCCCAGAGAGAGTTGTCAGAGAATCCTCAATCTTCAATCTTCAATCCAGGATGTGCTAGCACGTGCTAGCACATACCAGTTAGTCCTAAGGACGGATTGAAGATTTCCAGAACAAGCTGTCTGAGAATCTTCAATCTTCAATCTTCAATCCAGGACGTGCTAGCACGTGCTAGCACACCCTGGATTGCACTAAGTACCGATGCCAGAAAAAAAGTCGAAAACGGAGTGCATTTTTTGAGCCTGATTTTAGAAGCTGGAACGTGTTTTTGCATGCATTTTTACAGCCAAAATGTCAATTTCTGTCCAAAAACCTGAGTATTCCAGGGGGGGTACCATATATATATATATATATATATATATTTATGTAGAATATTATATATATATATGCATGTACATTAATGTGTATGTATATATTTCTATGAAAAGGGTGTGGGGTCCTTCTTCCCAGAAGACCTGTGTTCTTTCTCTACTTTGTTGTGTTTTTCTCGGTTTCATCAGCTTTGTCTGGTGTAGGGGGGGGGATAACAATAACAACTATACATACAGACATATATACATATATACACATGCGCATACACATACACACATATACATACATATATTTGAACCAACAAAGAGTCAGGCTATTTTTTGTTTCAAGAAAATGCCCCAGATCCAGATCCATTCTGAAATGGCACCCTGCCGGTATGTGCCAAGGTTTGGTTTCCACTTGGGACCATCCAACTAAAGAAGCTTCCCCGAAATAGCAATGCGTTTTCGGGGTCCTTCCTCTAAAGAAACATCGGACTTGGTTTTCGGGCTCCACGTCAATTTGCAGGAGTGTTGCTTCTCCTTTCCCAAATCCCCAGATCATCTCGGGCATAAGGCGAGAGGACCTGACCATCGAAACCAAGGGCTGCATTGAGGCGGGCCGACGCCGCTTTCCGCTTTGCTTGACTCGTGCAGTTTTTGTTTCCGCTTTGCAAAAAAGGCTCGGACTTCCAATAAGATTCCAACATGCAGGTTGACTTCAAAACCAAGTTGCAGGTTGACATCTTAATCTACATGTTCCCGGAGTAGCGGACATTTTGTGGCTCAGCCCGCCCCCCGGCGCTGTTTTTTCTCTGTCAGGCTGCGTGCAGCAAAGTGGCCTGGCGCCCTGATCCGGGTCCCGGGGTTTTGGGAAGCAAGACGGGCGGCTCTACCGCTTTTTTTTGGTGGGGAGAACCACAGGGGAACCAAAAGGACACTGACAACCAACTTCTGGGGCTCCCCAATTTTAAGACATGCCCGGACATTGACACCCCTTTTAAAGCATCCCCCGTGTCCCTTGAGTATGGCACAGCCGAAACACGCCCTCTCTACAAAGCTTTGGCTGGCGCCCAGGCCCAGGAGTGCCGTGCCATGCTGGCAGAGGCGGGGGGGGGGGGGGTCCGTGTTTTTTTTTTTGGTTTTGGGGGGAGAAGAAGCAGTTCTGGGGGGTTGGGAGAAAAGCAGGGACAAGAAGAAGGAGAAAGCCCTGCCACAGAGAAGAGGGAGTTGCAAAACTGCGAGCATTCAGATGAGGCGTGCTTCGTGAGACAGCTCGGCTGATAGTTACCTGAGCCTAGTTTTCCGAGGGACAGTCCCTCCTCCTTCCACTGGAGCCCTGCGCTGACTGTTTGAACCTATTCAACGAGGAAAGGGCTGTAAAGCGACAGGGTGTTTTAAAGGACACCGACGGCTCACCAAATGCTATCCAAAGATTCCAACTAATTGGATTTCACGCCGTTTCCCAATTTAGTTTCACGCCGTCTCGCGGGCTTTTTTGTTTTGAGAGACCCTCTTGTTCTCTTTTGTTTGGAAGCTGGGGTCGGCCCCTCGGCCCATTTGGGGGGGCTCAAAATTAAACAGGAGGGGCAAACCGCAGGTTTGGGTCCACTTCCCCGGGCCACCCATTTGGGTGTGGGTCAAAATTAAACCACCAGGGGACCGCAGGTTTTAGTCTTGTCTCCATTTGCCAGGGCAACCCATTTTGGGGTTACCCTATTGTTGACCACCACAGCCATTTGGGTACCGGTTCGAGCAGACCCCAGCCCCTCGGCCCATTTCCCCGAGTCCACAGGGGGGTTCACCGCTTCAGGAGCTTGCCGCTGCGCGGCGCGACACGGAGGAGCTGGCGGCCGAGCACGGGGCCTGACTGGCGTTGGGGGGTTGGGGGGTTGGGGTGGGGTTGTTTGGGATAAGATCCCCATGTTCTAGGGGTGGATTCCGATTCCATTCTTTTCAACCACCGTTCTTTTCAAAAACCAGCTGTTTCCCTGGGCTTTTGATGGCTTGCTGAAAAGAAGGATCCCTGGAAAGAATGGGGAAGGTAGCCCTAGACACGCGAAAACTGGGGTTGGTTGCGATAGGAAGGGAATCTCCTTTAAGTGATAAAGTAGTCCTGGGAATGACCCACATCGACATCACAAAAAGACCAGCAGAGGGGGCTGTGGTCTTTCGTTGGGTTTACCTTTTGTCCAACCGCACTTGTTTGTGTGCAAAGGCTTTGCCAGTTCCTGCTGCAACGGCACCCAATCTTTGGTGCCGATCTGCAACGTACTTGGAGCATCGGACTACATTTAAGTCCCTTCACTATCAGCTGCTCTGAGGCTGAAGAGCAAAACGGAACGAGACATAGCTGCACAGGACGGCCGGTGTCGTCTCGGGCGCGGAAACACCAGTCTTGGATGGTGCTCGAGCTGTGACGCATTGCCCAACTTGGTGCGTTTCTCTTTTGCCTGTCATTGTTACAGTGGATGGACGAAATCCATTTCGCACCACTTGGGAGCCAGGGAAACTATTGTTGGTTGGTATTTACAGGGGAATCGTCAGAACCCAGGGTTTCTTAGGCGGTGTGAACGGATTTCGTCCATCCACGGTACGGGAGAGTGAGCATGAGCCTTAGGTTCTGAAAGAGAGGGCGCGGATGGGAGCATCCCTGGAAAAGGGAAGAGGTGCTGGGCCTTTCAAGGTTGGGTGAGATGCAGTGCTTCTGAATAGTGTTCATCCAACTCGTAGGCGCAAACTGGTGGCAACTGAGCATGAAACTGCATTTGCAGATTACAAGCTGATGTTGTATTGGGTTCGCACGCAACACACAAAACGGATCTATGTCTAAGGTGGGTTTCGGTCAACGTCTAACAATGCAACCCACAAAAAACAGGAGCCACGGAAAAGGGGACTTGGTGAACGTCTAACAATGCAACCCACAAAAAGACAGGAGCCACGGACAGGGACTCTGCCTTTCTTTTGGCATGAATCGCCCCGTCTTGCCATCTCGTTTCATTTTCGAAGTCGCTGGGCGCGTTGCCTCGTTCAGGATGCGCTGAAGAGGCTGGAGGACTTGAGCCAGGCGCGGGGGCTTCGAGACGCGGCGAAGAAGCCGCTTTCTTTTTGGCCCTGGGGTCACCCTGGCTTTGTGCTCATTGCAGCCCGAGCGTTGTATTCATCCCAGTCGATGTTTTGTTTTCTCCTTCTTGTTTTTCCTGTTCCGCCGGAAGGTACCATTGCTCGGCTACTTTCTTTTTCCATGTCTTGCGTATGGGCAGGTGAATGAGCGCGAACTGAAAGCTGCCAGAAGATGGGAGAGTTCTACTGGGCTCACCATCAGCTCCCATTGGACCTGACCCCAAGATTTTGAGTCGGGTTCGGGCCGTCGGGAGGCCACGGAGTGCAAAGTGGAGGCTTTGGGTCAGACGATCCAGAAGATGTCCACGCGCCCGGAGTTTGGTGGAGCCTCTGGCTGCGGCTTGGGGAGTTTCACTCGGATTTCGGGGACCTGTACGGGGGGGTTGCTTCTGTGGGATGCAGAGTCGATCTAGCCCTAGGATTGACAGCCCAATGGCGATTGCGTTCAAAGTTTGGACATGCCCAAGTCGCAGGAGACATCCACAAATCTGTTCACCTCACATGACTCCTTTCGAAAAAACGACGGAGTGGGTGAGGAAGTCCAGCAGCGGCCCTGAAATTGGGGGGCTTGAAGATGGACACCTCTCATTTGTTTTCGGTTATTTCTTTGCAGTCTCCGTCCGTCATTTTGCCCCGCGCCTGTTCCGAGGCCGGACCCCACGGAGGCCTTGAACGCCCAGCTGGCGAACGCCGGGGCGCCGGAAACGTCTCCAAAACGGGCGCTAAGGCTGTAGGTATGAGTATCCTTTGGTGCATTTTGCTTGGATGTTGGAACTTCAACTTTTTGCCAACTACTGGGTTTCCCATTAAACCACTAAAAAATAAACTTTTAGCAGGGGAGCAGAAAGCAACTGAGTATCAGTCGTGAGACATTTGGGTCTGGATGAAAAATGGTACCGAACATGGAACCTTGGTAAGCGGAAGCAAGGACTAGAACCTGCGGTCCCCTGTTTTTTTTTTTGACCCATAGCCATTTTGTTTGCTGGGGGTCCTGACCCGGACATTTCAGGCAATGCGTTCTTGCCCCCCACCCCTGCCCACCCCTTTGTGCAACATGATCGCAACGAACATGTGCAAAGTTCATGTTGGACCCCCGCACATATCTATCATAGACCCCCCCACAATGTCGTCCCTCCCCCCGGTTGGGGTTGGTCTTCTCGGCTCCAAGCTTTGGGAGAGGAGACTCAAATCGCGCAGGTGTCTGCAGCCCAGCAAGCAGCTGCGGATGCGCGGACGCTGGCGCGCAGCCAAGAAGGGGGGGTCAACTTCACCTGGGCCAAGTTTTGGTCAGCAGCCCCTGCCCCCCCCCTCCACTCACATAGCGTGGCAATTGCGGGAGGGCACCCGGAAGATCATTGTCTTCTTGTGACCCCCTGTCAGCCGCCATGTTTGTGGGAGTGAGGTACAGTGGTCATACCAGCTGCTTCTTCCTTTTGCCTATTGTGGCCCTTTGAATTTACACCCCGATCGCCCATTCTGTGGTGTCTAGCAGGAATTTGGAACCTTTTGAACCACCACATAATGTAGACAACCGGTGTTCAGTGCTTGTTACCTACAATGTGAACATACAGCTGCTGATGGGTGTGCCTGTCGCGGCCACCCAGAATTTGAACCGTGGTGACTGCCTGTTCCAGGTGTGTCCAGCCAGAATTTGGTACTTTTTGGACCCCTTAGACGTAGAGATGCTGGATGTTTTTTTTGTTGCTTGCTGTGGCTTGTTTGATTTTGTACCTCAAGGACCGCTTTGGCTTTTTTTTTTGTGTCGCGGCAGGGATTTGGTGCCTGTTGGCCCCAGTTGCCTGTTCTTGCGTTGTCGAGCAGGGATTTGGTACCGGCGCAGACGCAGTGCGCAGAGACTGCACCGTGTTGCTCATTTGTGGAAGTTTTTCGCATCTCAGACATCCAAAAAAAACATGGTACTCCTCTTTTTACTGTGGAACCCTCCCACCGATTAACATGGAACCTGACGAGGACCCGGATGGTAAAAAAACCAGGACCCCCGGAAGGGTCAGGTTCTGTGTCAATTGGTGGGATGATAAGACATACAGTGGATGAAATCCAGCACTTGGATAGATGAAGCCTTTATGAGGGAAACCATTGTTGGTTTGGCAACAGGGAATCGAGTCATTCTGTTGGGTTTCGGTTTCTGGTGGTGCCGAAATGCGGATTTCGTCCATCCACAGCCAGAAACGGTCAAAACCAATGACGTGTATCCCAAAACGACCACACACACACACACACACACACACACACACACACACACACACACACACACACACACACACACACACACACACACACACACACACACACACACACACACACACACACACACACACACACATCACCCACACACACACACACACACACACACACACACACACACACACACACACACACACACACACACACACACACACACACACACACACACACACACACACACACACACACACACACACACACACACACACACACACACGCACGCACAAGCACAAGCACACAAGCACACAAGCACGCACACGCACACAAGCACACACACGCACACGCACACGCACACGCACACGCACACGCACACGCACACGCACACGCACACGCACACGCACACGCACACGCACACGCACACGCACACGCACACGCACACGCACACGCACACGCACACGCACACGCACA